GCACCCATTTGCCTTCAGTGATCGTATTAGGAAGGTGAGCACACAATGAAATGATCTTTTGTTCTTTGATGTGTGATACCTGATCCCTTCGGCACCTCATGATCACACAGGCTGGTGTGCTTCTTCCATGTGGGCTTTGTTGCTTCTGAGCCATATGGCCGTGAAGAAAACTTTTAAAACCAAGTTTAAACATATGTGAAATGTGAAGTCCAGTTCTGTGGAACTGCTTCACCTCATATGATCCAAGCATTTGGAGAGCTAATACATTTATTAGGAATATAATTTATTGATATTTGTTCTGACTATCCAAAATTTGTGTTAATTATACATTTAGCAAAAAATTCCTGGTAACAAATGTGTAGAAGCTTATTTTTGGATATTCCAATCCACCGTTGCTTGCTGAAGCATGTGCTAAGGAGTGATGAGGATGCACCTTAGCACTATGCACAGTTGTTTTATTTTTGCTGAAAACATGGTTTGTACCACTCTTGGGATCACTTTGGAAAAGGTGGTATCATGTTCTCTTGGTTGGGGGTTATTGGGATGTCTTCTATGTGATTTTATTTTAAATGTATAAATTAACCCTTTGAAGACAGAATTGTTTTGTTTTTATTCTTTTCTGTTGTTGAAGTCATGTGTTTCCAGCAATGTAAGATGTTTTGAGTGAAATGAAAAAAAAAAACGAGGTAATAACAGATTTTTTATGCAATTAATGGGACACATATGTCCCAAGGCATCTCTGGAGCTGGAGTTTGTGGAATGAGGTCCATTTCTTTCTATTCAAAGTTATACAGGCCCCCACCGGAGGGCAGCATGCACTAGAAGTGGGATAGCAGGTTCCCACAAAACCGTAAAGGCAGAAAATATAGTGGAATTGATGACCCTCTGGGTCATGAAAGGGTTAAGATGAACTGAATGACAGTTGAATTTACTTTCTACGAAGTCTCTAAAGAGATTAATGAAATAAATTAGTCAAACAAAGTAATAAATGCTTCTGAATTCTGGCGAGCTTTCTCCAGAGAAGCTTACAGTGATATGAATTAGGTCAGATCTTAGGCTACTTCTTAAAGGTATCCGTGAGCTGACTCATCTTTTTGTACGCAGAGCCTTGGGTACCTTGCTGAGAGTGTGCCATTGGAGTGCACATGTGCTGTAGAAGACGGCCTTTCCCACAGAAGAAGCGAATGTTCTGCCTCAGGTTGCGTGAGCACAGGGTGCTTTCTCATGAGGTCGCAGTGCCCAAATCAGTGATGGCTACTCCTTTTTCTTTTAGCATAGTTGTTGTTGCGGCGGCTGCTGCTTTTGTTTCTTTTAAAAAACACGTTGACGTAGATGTTGACATAGATGGGGGTGAATAAGCTTGCTTTATGTCTCCTATCACTCCATTCTCTACTTGAGAGAGGATAGTGAGTGGTCCTGGTTTCCTTTGGTGATGTGCTTGAGGGACAAAAAGGGGGACAGGGGAGACTATTGGTGTGTTGAGTTCGCATTGTTCCGATTATTTTATTTTACACTGTTATTCAGAGTAGTCCAGGAGATATATTTTGTTCTTTTCATGGCAAATGGCATTTTAGGGCGCTCATTTGGCTGGTTTGTCTTTAAAGGAGAACTAAGTTAAGACTCGATTCAGTTGCTTGAGTCTTTACCTAGGAGTGTCAGAAAATCCTTTCATGACTAAATTATCCCAACATCTTTATTTGGAACCACGTAAAGGACTTTGAGTGGTCATCTGACCTTCTGGGTGTCTTAGAACTTCATCAGTATTCCAGATTCTCTTCTGTGTTTAGAAAACGTAAGTACACCAAAATCTAATGTTGCAACAGCAGAAACTGGGATGTGACTCTTCATATTACAAACAAATTTTCCTAGGGTACATTTGAATAAGTTCATCCAGGATACCATTTGAGTGAGAGCGCACCTTTTGGGAGAGGCTGGGCATAGCACTCAACACAGTCTACCTGTATTTGCTTTAAATCAGCTACACCAGAAGTTCAGTATTTCAGACTTAATCTGTGTGACTCTGATCTAACGAACGTCTAAACTCTAAAGTTTTCCACCATAATTTCCCCATTTGGGGTTGGGCTTCTCAAGCAGGTAGAAGTGGGACTAGCAGTGAGAAGAGTTAACATTTTTTGAACGCTTGACCATTGTCCTCATTTTTTTACATGTGCTAACTCAATTATTCATCATAATTATTTTCTGATCCTGTGGCATAGGTACAATTACTATCCCCATTAGTCAGATGAGGAAATTGAGGCCCACAGAGGCAACTAACCAGCAGGATTCAAACCAGTGAACTCTTGACTCCAGAACCCATACTTCCACCCACTCCCTCCCCTGAGAACATGATGTATTCACCAAATAATTCACTGAGGACCTTTCTCAGTGCTCTGAGCCACATCAGGGGAAACGATGTACAAGAATGAATGCATTTTAGGTTTCTGACTCCTGGACATAAGGGGCCAGCACTCACAAAACAGCTTGTTACATTTATTTAGTTTTATCTTGTATCTAACAAATGACTTAGACCACTACGTCTGTGTCCCACGTGAAATTTTCACCAAGTTCCCATGAGAAAGGTCAGAGTTAATGAACTCCTAACAAAAGTGGGCTGGCCCTTTTCATGGAGAGGAGATGGCTAAAAAGGGCAAGAGTCTTAGACTTTGGGTTTTTGCTGGTGCTTCCTGCAGTAGGTCGTTTGGAGCTCTCCTGTCCCTTAAAATCTTCCTTGTGGCCAACTTTCTTTGGATAGCAATAGAAGGGCCTGGTGAGACTTCGGCCACTTGAGTTGGACCGAGAACCAGTTGCTGGAAAGGGGCAGCATTGTTGGTAAAACTTAGCGTCGTTGAAGGCTAGGGAGAGCCTCTGTAAGATAGATTGACACGTAGCCAAAACTGTGGACTCATGGCACAGGCCCGGGCAATATCTCATCCTGTTAGACTGAAGGCCGTAGTGAGTTAGAGGCCTACACTCTACTAATACCAACAAAAGCTGGTAACTGCAAGGTCAACAGGCAGAAACCACCAGCTGCCCCTTATAAGACTGGGGTGGGGTGGGGTGGGGCTTTCTTTTCCTGTGAAGAGTTACTGTCTCACAGGGCAGTTCTACCCTGTCCCATCGGGTCACTCTGAGTTGGCATCGACTCGATGGCTGTGAGTTTGGTTCTGTTTTGGATTTCTGTAGGGCCAGTGCCTTGAAAATGTCCATTGTTGTTTTATGTTAATTAGGTTACTACTTGTTTATATAACAATTTGAGATAATAACCTCAAAATTGGTATTGATTGAGGGATCAGAAATTAAGAGGACCAATGATATATGAAGTCCAGGGAGTAACTAAACATTGGACCTAAATTCAGGGGAGATAAACTCTAGGAGGTGTTGTTTTTACATTTTAAACAGTTGGAGGGCAGGTGAATTCAGGATGTGTGGGTTTTTGTTTTAAATTAAAAATCATTTTATTGGGGGCTCTTACAGCTCTTTACCAATCCATACATCAGTTGTATCAAGCGTATTTGTACATATGTTGCCATCATTATTTTTTAAACATTAACTTTTGAGTCCTTGGTACCAGCTCTTCTTGCAGTACTATAAATTGGTTTTGAACTGAGCTTGGGTGCTGGAGGGGAAGCTGGGCAATGGAGACACCTCTGGCTCCCCCTGTTGGAGGAAGGGAGCGGGTCGGCGTACACTTGAGTATGTATGGCATGGACATAGGCCAATCCTCTTTTTTTTTGTTTTGAATCATTTTATTGGGGGCTCGTACAACTCTTATCACAATCCATACATCATTTGAATCAGGCTCGTTTGTACATATGTTGCCCTCATTCTTGTCTAGACATTTACTTTGTATTGAGCCCTTGGTATTAGCTCTTTTCTCTCACTCCTCCCCCCACTTTCATAACCCCGATAGATTGTACATTGTTATTATTTTCATCTCTCACACCGACTGCTGTCTCCCTTCCCCCATGCTTTCTGTTGTTCTTTCCCCTGTAGAGGGCTGTATGATTATGTGTCGATCATTGCAATTGGTTCCCCCTTTCTCCCTTCCTCTCCCACTTTTCCCCCTACCCTCTGGTATCACTATTTCCACTCCTGTTCCTGGATTCTGTGTGTCTTGAGCTCCCATCCCTTTCTATACCTGTGTATATGTTCCAATCTAGTCTGAATTGAGAAGCCACACAGGGGTCCTGGTAGTGAGGGCTGGGGTAAGCCTCAAGGAACCAGAGGAATATAGTGTCATTGATGCTTCACTGTACCCTGGTGACTTGTCCCTTCCCTGTGGCCCCTCAGTGGGGAGATTGTTCACTGTCTTCAGATGGGCATTGGATCTCTGTTCCAGCCCCCCTCATTCTTAACAATATGTTTTTGTTTGTTATGGTTCTGCTGATGCCTTTTACCCGGTCTGTATGATTCCTCATGATTGCTCCGGCAGTGTGCTTCTTCCATGTGGACTTGTTGCTTCATTGCTGAATGGTGGCTTGTGTAACTTCAAGCCTTTAAGACCTCGGATGCTATATCTTTTAATAGTCGGGCACCATCCACCTTCTTTACCACATTTGCTTATGCACTCGTTTTGTCTTCAGTGATTGTGTTGGGAGGGTGAACATCTCAGACTGGCGATTGGTTAGAACAAAGTGTTCTTGTATTGAGGTTATGAGCAGAGGCCCAAGTCCAACCCCCAGTACCTCTATTTTTATGAAGTAATGTACATTTGTACACATCTATGCTTATACCTCTATCCATAGCTTTGCTTCTTAGATCTGTCTTGTTTCCTTTTACCTTCCTCCTGGCCCACCATCACACTTACCCTTCTTCCGCCTCTTAGTAATTCCTCTCAGCTAGATTGCTGTTGCGCCAACACCCCCAGGATCTCCACGGCCTCTTCATTGTTGTTTTTAATTCCCTAGTTGTTCCCCTGTCTATGGTGTTGTTTGCTCACTGCTCCCTTCCCCTGCCTTCTTCTCCCCCCAGCCCCCGCCCCTGAACTGTTGGTCCCCTTGCTTTCTCCTTGAGCTTGCTTCCCATGCCTCTTAATTATCTGGTCTGACAGCAGGAGCACCAGGTGGGTGATTCTACCTGGACACTATCTTCCGTCTGATTTTTTAAATCTCAGAGTATTAGGTTGGGATTCCTCTTGTGTCTTGTCACCACTTTTGAGAGAAAGGGCCTGAAGCACATTATGACGGGGCAGCACTTGAATTGTGATGAGCATTCCATTTTCTGCTTCCTGTTTCTCTCTGATGGGGCAGTAGAGAAAGATGGTTTTAAAATAAGCAGCAAATAGAGAATTTCAGCCACTGTGCCTACAGCTCAATTATAACCGGCCTGTCTTCTCTATTGACTGCTACTAACATTGTTACTCTGCTTCGGCAATATGGTCATTTCAACTGAAGAATATAGTAAAAAGAGATTTGGGTTAGAGGCCTGCACCTTGTGTGCAACCCCCCACCCCTCATCTGTCCAGTATGCCCTCAGGAACTGTTCTGTGACACCTGCTGGGGACCAGACTCTGGGAATGGCAGGGTGAGTAAAACGTGGGTGGGCCCCAGCAGCTGGGAGGACAGCAGCAGTCAAGTGCAGGGAAATGCACAGAACCTGCAAGTACGAAGTGGTCTGAGAAACAGGACCAGACTGACTCAAACCACACCCACTGCCATCAAGTCAATTCTGACTATGGCAACCCTCTAGGAGAGGTAGAAATGCCCATGTGAGTTTCTGAGACTGACTCTTTTCCAGGAGTAGAGGACCCCGTTTTCGCCCTACAAGAAAGGGGAAGTGATGTTTTCAACTGTGAAGGGCTGGCCACACGGAGAAGGGCCTAGGAAGAAGAAACAATTAACTTAAGCATGAGGCTTAAGCATACCGCTTACGGCAGAAATCCATTGTTGCTAGAGAATAGGACTCAGTGTTGGAGATGGATGTTGAGTTGTGAAGAACAACTTGAGGCCGGATTGTAGGAACAACTCGGGAGCTGTTACACCATGCTCAGTGAGGTGCAGAAGGAACTTAGAAGTTGGTGCCGTATGTAGTGAAATCACTCCTTTATCCCCTCCCCAGGATATTGCTGCCTTCCAAAACGTTGCTGAATCATTATTACATGGTAGGAATGTTTATTTCTAGTATGTAGACTTCAACAGTATTTAAACATCCTTAATTCCCTCTTACGAATTGGTACTTATATTTAAGCTCATCAGATCCAGACAGAGGAGACTCCTGTAGTTTCCCTCAAAGATACTGAGCTGGGCACTGGAAGTCAAACTGAGATGTGCTTGGAAAATGCCATTTAGTCATTAAAATGACCAATTTGCCTGCTTAGAGTTCATGAGTATAGGCCAAGGAGCAGCCAGAGAAGACCACCTTGTTTGCAGTGCTGGATGAAAGCTTTCCAGGTGCCTTGAACGGAGATGGGGTCCACTCATAGAACTGGAGCTGACTGACTGCTGATTCCCACTCCCCAAAGCTCTCCCTCTCAGATGTTCCCAGCTGGGTCCCACTCCCTCCCTACAGATGAGGTAGATGAGCCAGAGGAGCACCCTGCCTGAGGCTTACAGAATTTGGGTGGATTGGAAGGAAGCTAGGTCTTAGTCCCAAAGAGAGTTGTTAGCCACTGTTGAGTCAACGAGTCAGCTCTTACTCATGGTGAGCATCTCCCCACCCCCCCAATAAAACAATGCAACAGCATACAGGCCTTCTTCCTGGTCACTGGTATGTTCAAATTCACTGGGCAGCCACTGAGGAGGCTCACTTTCCAGCACTTAATCAGACTGTGTTTTGTTGAGATCCCTTAGGTTTTCATTGGTTAATTTTTGGCTATAAATTGCCAGCTTTCTTTCTATCTGCATTAGTCTGGAAACTGCTGAAACCTGCTCACATGGGTGACCCAGTAGGTATTTGAAATACCGATGGCCGTAGCTTTTAGCATCCAAGTAACATGTAAGCCCCAAAGTACGACAGGCTGATGGGTGGTAGAAAAGACAACTAGTGGTTTATTAATTATCATATAGGCATGATGCTGTCTTTTACTCTTGTGTTCAGAGCCTTCTGTCCTTTGAGGAGGCAAGATTTTTCTCTTTTAAAAATAGGTCTAGCTTCCTAAATTTCAACGCCTGTGCTTAAAGGAGGTGGCACTCACCTGTGGGAACTTGGGTGTGATTGAGAAGGTTGTGCAAAATGTGATGTGACTCCCTGTACGTGTGGTAGGTTGATCAGGACGTACACCTAAAGTTAGTAGCTTTATTCAAGCGATTGTAAGTGTTTCATGATGGAAACTGCCTACGCCGTGGATCTTGAGACCATACTGGCAGCCGTGTGTGTGTGTGTGTGTGTGTGTGTGTGTGTGTGTTGTGGAGAGGCTTTTCCTTCATCTGGGCTAGCATTGTTCCAGAAGACATGGGATGCTGGCAAGCTGTAATGGGGGGTCACAGGGGAGCTGGGGTGGTCAACGGGGCATTTGGAGTGCTGCTGAGTGCGTCCCTTCCTTTGCCTGGATAGCCAGTCGGCGGGATTGTGAGCACCAGCATGTTTGGATTGTGAGCACCAGCATGTTTGGGACATTGGGCCAGGAAATTGCACATTATTCTGTGTCATTGGCAGTCACCTTTTCAGATGTGCCTTATTCTCTCCCTTTCAAAGACAGGAAACTGAGGCTCAGATGGGAGGGACCTTTACTGTTCTAGTCATCTCTGGTCATAGATTATCTTGACCATCTTGTGGGATCTGGGGATTCCTATTTTAACAATTCACTTCATTCGTCTAGCTCCTCCTGTATCACTTTGCTGGGGTTTGAAACAAACACATTATTTGAATGCTCCAGAATCCATTTGAAGCCATCTTACTTGAGTAGTTTACTATGTTGGGACCCTAGGTGTAGGTACTGTGGAGCCAGCTTAGTGCCTTTGGGGGCCATTTGCATTATGAGAGGGATTTTCTATCAGTAGGGACCAGGAGCTCAGTGCCCTGGGAAGGTTTAGGGTACCCATGTTTCTTCTTCTGGATGAGCAGTGTCTTGAGAGTGGTGTCCTAGATGATAGAGCTGAAGGGGTGGTACTTTGGGCCAGGATGGGGGACCAAATTTGAACTTTTCTCATGTAGGTTGACATGAGTTTTGGAGCAGAGAAGTGCCAGGCTGTCCCCTTGGCCTTGGAGACAGTCCCAAAGGGGGACCCTTCACAGGAAATCAGTAGTTCATCTGTGTGTTTCTGGCCCAAGGCAGAGAGTACATCCCACACTACCTAGAACAGGATGGAACGAGCCACCTTCAGGAATTCTGATAGGCCTCACACCCCTGGCATGTTGTCTGCTCAGGGGGAGACTATTGTACAGCTGTAGACTTATTTGAAGGAGGAATCCTATACTCCAGCTTAATATTTGACTTCTTAGTTAACAGCTCCAGCTGAGCATCCCAGGAGGTGAGGTGGTGTTGCTAGAAGGGTGCACCAGAGAGCTTTGGGTTTGGATCTGTTTGGTTGCCATTTGGGGAAGCTCAATACTGTAGCCACATGTGTAGTGTTGGTACAGTATGTAGCTGGATGTCTTGATACTGGTTTGCAGAAGGTGTGGTTCTCCTTTAATGGGACACAAGTTTCCCAGCACAGCTTTTTCTCCTTGGATGCTGGGCATTGAGTCAGGAGAATGAGTGGTACCCTGTGGGCTTGCTTGGCTCACCTGCCAGTACCTCAGGTATTGATAGCTGTGGGACTCGAGCCCAGTCTGTCATGTCATCTGGTCTCCCTCTGCTCTCCCACCCTCCCAACCCCCACCTTCCTCTCTGAATCACGCTGTCGTTGGCAGTCCTGTTCCCCGTGGCATGGTGGTAGATAAACTATTGTTCTCTGCTCCAAACCACAGGAGAGAAGGGCAACAGGGAGAACGGATGAGTGGCTCTGATCGATAATGCTCCCAAATCATTTTGCCCTCCACAGCCAACACACCTTCTGAAAACCCTTCCCATTCCTTTCCCGGATGCTTTTGATCCTCTGAAGAGGCTACAAGAGCCTGAAAGAGGCAGCACAGTCCGGGCCTGCTTAGCCTAGTCACCCCATGACTCAGATTCAGTTGCTCAGTTGCATTGTCATTTCACAACTGCCTGTATCTGATCCTCAGGGCAAGCTCCTTGGCAGCCTCTGCTCACCCTAACTCCTCTTTTAAACAGAAGCCCTTGGGCCCTACTAGTGAGAGATGCCTTCCTTGTCCCTTCCCTATCCACCTTTCTAAATAGCAGTTTTCAAAAGACAAATGTGCCGGTCACGTTAAAGTGCTTTACATGTGCTCTCTGTATTAGGCTCCACAATCGTAGACATAGCGGGGGAGACAGGGCTGGGTTTATCAGACCCTCCCTTTAGGTGTCAGCCATAAACTCCGTTCGTTATGCTGAAGTGTGAGCCACACAAGGATGTATTTTTCATGTCTCTGTGCACCCCAGTGCCCACAGAACTGCCCTGCACATACTTGGCACTCAATAAAGATTGGCTGAATGAATGAATGAGGCAGGGGTTATTTTACCTGTTTTACAGGTGGAGACAGGTTAATTGGGTAACTTGCCCTTAGGCGTGCACCACGGTTGGAAACGTTTGCCTCTTCACAGCACAGGTCTTAAAAAAAAAAAAATTCAGATCACTTTTACGCCTGTAAAATGGGAGTCATCAGATCTGTGTCGTGCATTGCAGTGCATTATATAAAACACTAAATCCTCACCCCGTGTCTGGCGTCTGGTAAGCATTCAAGGAGAGGTGCTGTGTGTGTTGTGTGGTAAGCCTCTCTTCTGAGCTTGCCTTCATTGGGGCAGGATTGGCGCACCAATGAGCTGAAAAATGTGCTAGCTCTGAAACGTGAAATGTTTTATTCATCTGACAGGAAGTTTTTCACTCTTTTAGCTACCCAGTGATGGAGCAGTAAAACTGATGAAACAGTATCTGTTTTCAGTCTTAGCTTTTGTTCTGGATGCAACCTTAGGGATCATAGTCCAGCTAGTCTCCTTCCCCACTCCTGTCAAGTCAGCCTGATAGGGTTCCTGAGACTGTAAGCCTGTACCGGAGCTGGCAGCCTCATCTTTCCTCACAGAGCTGCCAGTGGGCTTGAACCCACAGACCTTTCAGGTAGTCCTCTAAGGCTTATCCCTCAGTGCCATCAGGACTCCTTACTCTTGATGCCTCCTTCATTGACAGGTGAAAATGAGCCCTGGAGAGGTGTAAGGGGTATGCCAGGAATGGATCCCTGGGCGTCAGAGTCTCTGAGATGTTCGAGCCCACTTGTCCCATCCAACCTGGGTTATTGGAAAGTGGGTCTGTCCCTAGAGCCACAGGCATTTCTGCTGATGCAGTTATTGAACAGATAATAGCAAAAATCTACCAAAAACCAGTAAGTAAAAACCTCACGACTGTTTAAACATTTTCCCTTACTCTATAGCATTCCTGTACATTGTAGATAATAAGGAGGAAAAGAACACTCACCCTTAATCCTGTCACTCTGAAGTTACAAAGGAAGTATTCCTAAGAGTTCCCATTAGATGTTCACTTTGTCAGCACATGTAATTCCTATTCACTGTGGAAAACTCCTAAATAGAGAGGAAAGACATTCTAATAGGGGGGGAGGGGATTAGAAATAAATGTTTTTTCCAACCAGTCAAGAGATACACGCATCTTCTCTTACTTTCTATCTTTCTAGATGGCATGGACACACACCATTCCAAATCAGACTCACTGCCAGAGTCTGTGCTGACTCCCAGCGCCTCCATAGGACAGGGAGAGCTCCCCTGTGAGTTTCTGAGACTGTCACTCTGCAGGAGGAGAAGCCCGTCTTTCTCCTGCAGAGCAGCTGCTGGTTTCAGACTGCCGTGCAGGTTGCAGCCCAACGTGTAACCACTATGCCATCAGGGCTCCACCAGACACACATAAACAACCCGATGTTTTGGTACACACCTTTAAAATAATTATACCATATTAAAAATATGGTAGAATAGTTTGACAAATATTCTACTACATGAAAATCATGTTATTTTGATGTGGAATCATACTTTTATTGTGGGCTGGTGTTTCAGGTATTCCAGATTAAACAACAATGTAGGATTAAAATTTTACTGCAAAGTATAATTGCATACCATATATACTCGAGTATAAGCAGATCTGAATATCAGCCGGGGCACCTAATTTTACCACAAAAACTGCATTAAAAATATGCTGAAAAACGGCTTATACACGAGTGTATATGTAGTTAATCAGGAAGTGATGTTTTTCTAAAGAGGGAAATGCTGAGTTAACAATTATATATTTTTTGGAACGAGTACGATTCTCAAATGGAGAGTTACTGATTTAAACACAAATCGAGCAGTTCAAAAGAATCTTCTTAAATCTCAAGAGGAAAGTGTTTTACCTCTTATATGTGGTGCAAAAATCACAAATAATGTGATATACTACTTATTTGTGCTCATAGATTTATTCTTTAATCCACAACATGTTATTTGGGGAATCTGACACAGTTATACCCAGTTATTTCAAATAGAAAGATGTTTTTTAATGTAAAAAATAATTAAGTCCAGGAATCATTTTAATCTTACTTTTAAAATCTGTTGTGGAAGTTGCACTGACAAATTTCCTTTAAAATAACACTGCTAGTAGGATTGATCCATATTACTTACTACAGCATCTTCTTACATTTGCAGAACAGAGTATACATATATATGTGAGACTTGGGTGATGAATATATGAATTAGTACATCTCTTGAATTAATTCCTGGGAAGGCTCCTGCCCTATGTTGTTGTTAGGTGCTGTTCAGTCAATGCTGACTCATAGTGACCCTCTGCACAACAGAAAAGCACTGCCCAGTCCTGTGCCATCCTCACTATCGCTGTTTTTGTTTTGTTTTGCTTTTAGATCACAATCCATACATAACATCAATTGTGTAAAGCACATGTGTACATTCATTGCCCTCATCATTCTCAAAACATTTGCTCGCCACTTAAGCCCCTGGCATCAGGTCCTCATTTTTTCCCCTCCCTCCCCGCTCCC